ATTCCAGCCACAGCACAAACACACGGAGGGTGATAATTGGTTAGGAAGAAAAGAAGCACCATAATCTGTAGGGAAGGCCTGTGGGATGCAGCCGATGACAGCTTGTGGAGAGAGAAAGTACCATAGAGAAATTACTGAAGGAACCAGACTCTTTCACTGCAAACTCATCTAGTTAAGAGTGACATACTTCTAGACAAAAACACTTGTATTGATCTTGTTTTAAGAATAAAATACTATGCAGGGTCACATTTTGTGAGAATATTATGAACGTTTTAAGACTGTTTGCTTTTTTTTAGTGTTAGTGAAGTATTGTAAATGTAAATTTAGCTTAATTATAATCACAGACATAATTTAAGACCAGTGTTGTATTCTAAGGCTTTATTTTATTGTAATAACTTGCTTAAGTTTGCCCAAAAAGGCTTAATTACAGTCTTATTTTAGCTGTAGTAACTTACTTTACGTGATAGTTCACTCCTAAATAAAAAGGTTGTTATAATTCAGTCACCCTTTACTTGTTTCAGACCTTTACGAGTGTCTTTCTTCTGTTACAAAATAAGATATTTTGAAGAATGCTGAAAACCAGTAACCACTGAATAACAAAGTGTTTATTTTTCCCATTATGGAAGTCAATGGTTACAGGTTTTCAGCAATCTTCAAAATAGCGTCCTTTTTGTTCAACAAAAGAAAGAAACTTTGGAACCACATGGGAGTGAATAAATACGGAGTAAATTTTCATTTTGGGTAAATTATTAATTTAATAATTAGTAAAAACTGAATATATTTTTATTTTCAACATACGCAAATAATAAATGTTATTGTATAATAAATATATATGTTGTGTTATTCTTATATCCACTGTGTATTGGAATGCACTCAAATAAAATAAAGTCCAAAATTGAAATGGAATAAATTAAAATCATGTTAATGATCAAAAATGTAAGAATAAAAACAAATAAATAAATAGAAATGTCATAATTCACTCACCCTTTAATTAAGTCAGACCTTTATGGGTTTCTTTCTTCTGCTGAATACAAACTAAAATATTTTGAAGGATGCTGAAAACCAGTAACCATCGTGTTTGTTTTTCCAACTATGGAAGTCAATGGTTACTGGTTTTTAGCATTCTTTAAAATATCTTCCTTTGTGTTTCAAAGTAAAAAAAAACTTTGAAACCACTTGGGGGTGAGTAAATATTGATTAAAATTTAATTTAGGGTAAATTACCTTTTTAAGGTTGCTTATTAAGTCTCTTTTTGGACATTAACAGGAAACACACTGTATCTGAACATTTCTGTTAGGGAAATGGTTGTCTAGCAGCCATAAACCTAAAATAATCCACTATAAGAATTTTGTTAATTTAATAAATAGTAAAAAAAAAAAAAAAAAACATATAATAAATAATATATGTTATTGTATAAAATATATATGTTAAGATAATCTTATATCCACTGAATATTTAAATTCACTCAAATAACATAAAATCCCAATTTAAATGGAATAAAAATAAAATCATGTTAACAATATAAAAAGTTAAGAATAAAAATAAATAAATAAAAAGGTTGTTATAATTCACTCACCCTTTACTTGTTTCAGACCTTTATGAGTGTCTTTCTTCACTTGAATACAAAATAAGATGTTTTGAAGAATGCTGAAAACCAGTAACCATTGAATTCCAAAGTGTCTGTTTCAATGGTTACAGGTTTTCAGCATTCTTTAAAATATCTTCCATTGTGTTCAACAAAAGAAAGAAACTTTGGAACTACAGTACTTGGGGGTGAGTAAATACTGAGTAATGTTTCATTTTGAGCAAATTATCTGTTTGAGGTTTCTTATTAAGTCCCTTTTTTGGACATTTACAGGAACATCCTGTACATTCATAAAACATTTCTGTTTGGAAAATGGTTGTCTAGTAGCCATAAACCTAAAATAACCTGAATTTATTTAATTTAATAATTAGTAAAAACAAAATGAATATATATATTTTTTCAACACACATAAATAATATGTTATTGTATAAAATATATATTATGTTAATGTTATATCCACTGCATATTGGAATGCACTCAAACAAAATAAAACTAAAAATTTAAATGGAATAAATTACAATCATGTTAACTATATAAAATTTAAGAATAAAAATAAATAGATAAAAATGTTGTTATAATTTACACACTCTTTACTTGCTTCTGACCTTTATATATACAAAATTATATAATATATATTGAAGAATGCTGAAAACCAGCATTGTTTTTAGCATTTTTTTTTTAATATCTTCCTTTGTGTTCACCAAAAGAAAGAAACACTGGAACCATTTGGGGGTGAGTAAATACTGATTTTCTAATTAATATTTTGTAACATTTTGAGGGAACTATCTGTTTGTGTTTGCTCATTTTAAAATGCTCACTTTGTTCTTTATATTTTGAGAAGCAACAAGTAATACTTTTGCATTGTAACTACTGTCAAGTCTTAATCTGAATAAACCTTGTAGACACTATATGTACAATAATCTTGTTTTATGTCTAAATGCTTTGGCTCATTTTAAGAATGGAAATTCATGAATTAAGAGAAGTTTTCCTGTTCAGTAACTAGTTTTTAGACCCTTCAAGCTAAATAAGAAATTCAAACAGTTAAAAAAATTATTAACCAGCCAGTTTTAAGACTAAATGCACTGCTTGCATTAAATACTTATTTTAAGAAATATATGCCTTTACTTAAGCCTAGGTAGGTTTTCTTATTTCAACAAAATCTGACCAAGTATAATTATCTTACAGCACTGGCAGATAAATTGACCTGTTTCTAGTCTACATCTTCTTAAATCATTCATTTATTTCTTGTATTTGCGGTAATTTTATTTTGCTGTGTTGTGTCAGTGTAACCCGGGGCCACACGCAAGTATATTCACACCTTGCTGCGGATCGGCTTTAGATCCACTGTAAACCTGTCATCAAACAGAGCTTTCTTTCAAGTCTGCACCCTGTCTAGGATCAGACACGCGCCTCATGTTGTGTATCGGAGGGAGGTGAGGGAAAACTGAGAGGAAAGCTAATCATTGAGGGATAGAAAGAAAACGAGGATGAATAAATCTCTGCCTTGAGCACATTATTTCATGTGTGTGAATGCCTATGAGTAGTTAGCATGATGCATGTTGAGCTAGCCGTTGGCTAATACATAATATAAGCCTATAACTTTAGAGACAAACTGCATATTCCAGTGAAGGTGGGTTTAAAATGTATTTGTACACAGGGTTTATTGTTTTGCAAAGCTCCAGATATTTCCTGTCACTACCATGCATACAGCATGTGCCTGTGCCTAGTTTACACAAAATACATACTGAAAATATAAATAACATGCATTGAAAGAAACATCACAAACCATAAGTGACATGCACACTTGCAGCATACATTAAACGTAAGTTAAGTTACAAATAAAGTTACAATTTAAAATAAAAGCTTTAAAAACAATACTAAACTGTACACAGCATAAAGCAGTTTTAAAACACTATTTTTGTCAGTTATTTTCACATTAAATGTTAAATAAGGCAGAACTCATTTATGAATATTTACATTTATGAAGTCAATGGCATCAAAAAGTGACATTTCTATGATATGGAAATGCAATCAAGGGCGTAAAATTGGCATGGACAAGTGGACATGTACCCACCAATATCCACCAATTACTGAAATGTCCCAAACAATAATTTAATTGACTTCATAATAACATTTTGCTCCATCAACCCTAAGTAACCTACCAGTTCACAAAGGGTTAAAGTCAAGTTTGCTATGAGTTAAATACAATGCTATTAATCAAGGCTGTGCAATTATTTGAAATTCAGTTTCGATTATGGTCTCTATGATTAAGAAAAACAATAATCGGGATATTGCCTAGTGATAGGTTGCAGCAGGAAGGGCATCCGCTGCGTAAAACATATGCTGGATAAGTTGGCGGTTCATTCCGCTGTGGCGACCTCAGATTAATAAAGGGACTAAGCCGAAAAGAAAATGAATGAATGAATGAATAATCGGGATACAACAGTTCAATTTTCAAGTTCACCCACCTCTCCAAATTTCTCTATATTCATACCTCCTCAAAGCCAGATTGCAGTAAAATCATATAAATTGACATGTAATGCGATTCATTAATTGTTATTTGTACTATTACATGTAAGTGTTTATTTTATATTATTAAGTACTTTTAAAGGCTTAATAAGCATTGAGCCATGCATGTACTCTAGGGATGTACGTCGCCACCAATGTCAAGAGCTAATCTATGTCCTTGAACACAATACAAGATAACACAAAACAATACAGACAGAGAAATATAATATAACTTTATTTTACAGTACTTGCTTATTTTTCTTATATAAAGGAATTGTTCACCCAAAAAAAAAAAATTAAACATTTATTTATTCTCCACTTGTCCCAAACCTGCCAAGATTTTTTCTTCTGTTGAACACAAAAGAAGAATGCTGGAGAAAAAACTTCCATAGTATTTTTTGTTTTGTTGTTGTTGATTTTACATTCCTCAGACTATCTTGTTTTGTATTCAACAGAAAAAAGAAATTCATGGTTTGGATCCACTTAAATGTGAGTAAATGATAATGAAATGTTCATTTTTGGTGGACTATCGCTTTTTTTAAAATACTGGGTTAAGTAAGGCTTATGGATATGGACTACCCAGTTTATGTATTAACTCTGATAGGTACACTCTTAAAAACTAAAGGTACAGAAGCTGTCACTGGGGTGGTACCTTTTCAAAAGGTACACATTTGTACTTAAAGGGTGCATATTGGTACCTCAAACATATATATTAATACCTGAAATTTTAAGGGTAACACTTTTGTACTTTTTAAGTACCAATATGTACCCTTGAGGTATTAATATGGACCATTTAGGTACAAATTTGTACCTTTTGAAAAGGTACCACCCCAGTGACAGCTCGCGTACCTTTATTTCTGATAGTGTATGTAGTGTGTACATTGTAAATAAAGGGCTACCAACTCACCCTTCAGTGCGAAATATAGTTCTGAAACAGTCTCCAAGGCCTTTATAGCTATTTGGGTCACTCTTCCATCGTTGTATTTGAAACCTGAAAGACAAAACAAAGACAAAGAAAAAGTCAACTGGTCAACCACAAAATTGCATTTGGAAAAAAATATACACACATTTATTAAATTAAGAAATTAATATACTTTTTTCATGGATGGCACATGATTGATTTATAATAAGAGTCATTGAAATAAATAAGATAAACATAAACAAACAAGATCTTTGTAAACCAGAAGTCATAATTTATGTGTACTATGGCTACACATTAAATTTGGGAAATGAGCCAAATAATTGTCCAAAATAATGTCCAGGTAAAATAACAATGATTAAAAATTCATAAATTCTGGAAAACATCACTTCTGCACACATTATGTTCAGCATTCCTCCGCTTAGATGACTAAGAGATCATAGAGCATGACCACCATATGCTATCAATTATCTGTGTGCAGAAAATGTGGGACACTGGTTAATCTGCGCAAAGTGCCGACACAAGTCATACTTGAGTCCAGACTCCTGCTTTCACCTTCTGTTCTTTCCGAGGCAGCACAGACTTTCTCGGTCCCTTTAGCACAGTGGAGAACTCAAACATTTACTTGACCCATCCTTACCAATTAGCTTTGCTTCTCCAATAGCCACAGACCTTGAAGCTGCTAACTTTGTCGCCTACATGCTAGTAACCTCCTAGTAACAGTTCTGAAGTTCTGTGTAAATGTTTTAATACGATACAAATGGTCAAGATGTGTTTTTGTAGCAACAAGCATGCTAGTAACTCCCTAATAAAGAGCAAACTGAACCATGTAAATGTTTAACGTGGAACTAGCGCTGAGCGTGAGCTTGGGGAAAAGGATTTACTGCTTTACCGCCGCCCCCCAACACCACCAACATGGTTCATGAAATACAGACATTTTAGCACAAAGAAATGAACAAAAGCAACATTAGGACCTTTGGTACTTTGACAACACATGGTATGATCTGTTTACAGGCTGACATGCCATGATAATTTACAGCGGTTTAGGCTGGGTATCTTTTGGGCACTATAGTAACGATAAATAAATCAACCTTTGCCCTCAAAGTGTAAAAAGATGAACTCAGACCAAACTGAGAAGACACAGAAAGAGAAAGATTCTCCTCATATGGCTTTGACTGCCAGGTCAATAGGTCAGCAGTAAGTCATCCAGGCGGGTGCCTGATGGGGCCATAAAAGTGCCCTGGTTCAATCGGATGAGGGGGTTTACCGAGGTGAGCAGCCTTTCATATCGGCAACAGATTAACATCTTAGAGGGGTGTCCCCAGCATCCAATTTTGTAGATTCCCAAATAGCTTGTAACTTGTGCCTAAGAACCAGTTAAAAAAGCATCATAAACGAACGTCCAACACCATATTAAAGAGAAAGAAGAAAAGAGGGACTCTGAAACAGCAGGCAGTCAAGTGAGTGGGAATGTAGGGATGGGGCATGCAAAAGCATGGGGCAACGAACCAAAAGATTTAAGACCAGTGGAGCTTGTAAACAAATTCAAATCGGACTTAATTAAAGACACATGAGAGGAAGGTCAAGGAATGAAGACAGCTTTGTCCCACAGATGCCCAAGTTTCCATTTTTGGATGGCCCAACCCATGCGAGCCCAGAGGTGGCAGGGCTACGGTTCACGTTCAGCCGCCTGACTCCGCTGTTGACCTTGGGGTCACCTCATTTCCTCATGCCCCTTGCCTACCCTGCCATAAATGCTCTGGACCAAACGTCATGGCCCGGGGAGTGGAAGATAATAAGGAAGATTTGGCAACAGAAGATGCCTCTGGACTCTCAGAAAGTGTCACCAGGTCTTCTCTGCTGAATGCCAAATGAGCTGTAGATACTGTGGACAGTTTTGTCTTTGCATGAATTCTCTGCCCAGAAGAAGAGGTATATCCAAATTTGAAGACAGAAATTGACAGTTCAGAGACTCCAGTAAAAAAGAGTTGATGGCTGATTCAATCGACCTTGCAGTCAAGCTCCTGGTTGTAAAGTCAACAAACAGAGGAACTGTGAAAAGCCCAGGGGCTTTGTTAAAGATCCAGCTCTCAGAATCCCTCTCAAAGTAAACCCAAAAAGAAAAGATATACTTGCGGGTGATGATATCTGTGAGTTCATCAAAAACCTTCAATGACCTTCTGTACTGTTTTTATAGGACCAGAGCGTCATCATGGATAGCCAGGTGAAGGTGAAGGTAAGGCCAACATGGAGCCTCTGTGGTTGAAATAAGCACCAGGGGTAAATAACCCAACCATCTCCACCTGACCCCAAACTCCCTGTAAAATGCGAACTTTGAGCACTCTGACAGGAAGGTAAATGAGAGAATAAAGAGCAGGAGAACACCTTCTCTTTGTATTTTTATAGACAGGAGTGAAGTGTTCTAGGGCCTTGTCCCTTTTCAGACCCTGTATGTAATAGGCCAGCACTGGGTCCGACAGGGGGGGCTGTGACCTGCTGGAAGACAAGCTTGATGGGTTGAGGCCTAATAATGATGGTGTTAAAAAAAGCCCTTTGGGAAGGGCGGGAGGTTACTGGGTTGATCAAAAGAATTGAGTTGATGGGTTTGCCTTTAAAGGGGCAGGCTAAACTTTTAAAATGGTCTCTTAAATTTGCCTTGTTAAATGAAGGGGTATTCCCCCAAAGAATAGAGCGTGGAGCGGGAACTGCATTATTTCATTTATGAACATCAATCATGATAAACAAGGTCTCATGAATGGAAAACCATCCGGCAAATGTGCCATTTATAACTTTAGCAGGAATTACTTTTTCATTTTTACCACGGCGTTACTTTAGCTGTCACAGGAAAATGTATCAACGGTTGGCATTTATTATTGGCAGTCTATGTTTCAAGTCTGGTACCATGATAACTAAATATTGTGTAGTATGCATAAAAAAAACTTCTGGCAAATGATTACACATTCAATTTTATTGTAATTTGTAGCAATATATTTGCCTCAATCGCTCCATCCATAAACCATTTCTCAACTAAATTGAGTTATTTACCAGTGTTTTTTGGGCAAGGTATTTATCGATTTCAATTATTCATTAGCCATGTTAATATGTTTTTCATTTGCTGCCTCTGAACCAACAACACTTTCATCAAGAGCTGAAATGAAAGTAAAATTAGAAAAAGCGAAAGAAGCATGTGAGCGAGGTTTCTTTTACACACAATCAGCGGCGCATAAGAGAATCCAGAAGGCAGCATTAAAAGGAAATCTATTTTTTACAGCCAGACAGTTAATTTTAATGAGCAGGATCATAAAGATGGCAGACGTCCATTGCAATGGTACATGAGGTTAAACCTCTCTAACCTAAATGCTCCAATATGGCAGATGCCGACATCCAATCAAACTTAGAGCAGCGAGGACCAATCGACTGTCTGTGATCATGATACCCATGAACAGCAAAATGATGTGGTGCAACTGCATTAATCGGACTGAACACAAGCAAAACACCATTGATACTTGAACAGCGTGGTGAAAATAGACATAAAACCAATGAAATGCAATGCCTCTAGAAACCACAGGGAAAAGTAAAAGCATCTTGATTCACAGCAGACATACATAGCTGCCGTCCTCTGTTCTTCTGGCTTTGCAGGTTAATACCGCTGGGCCTGTGGCTGGAGGTGGCCTATAAAGCTGAGCCTTTGGAGGGAAGGAGATAAAGCCAAAGATGGAAGATGGGGCAAAAGGGAAGTGATAAAGTCATGGCGCTTGTGACACCACATGCTTCTAGGTCTTGGTCTGGGTTAGGACAGCTTGGGTTTCAGCGGCACCACAGGCCAACAGGACCTACTGAGAATAAGGTAATGAAGCAGTCCAGGATGGGGGGATGACAAGGAATGACGTCCTTAAGATGGCCAGTTAGAAATCCAACAAAATGCTCTCCTCTCGCAGCCACTCTGATTTGTGCCCCAGGTTGCCAAACTCTGGCTGACCTCTTGTGAAAACTTAGCTTTGACATTCCAAGCACAAGCAAGTGATGATTATGTATAAGCTAATCAACAAATGTTCTGTAAAAATATGCAAGTTACAGATTTAACTGAACCCAACCGGACACCTTTCTAATGAGGCTTTTCCATAAAACACATTCTTGCAACGAAATTGGTTCATAAAAGTTGAAAGTATTTCTGGTCGATACACCTCATAAAGAGAATTTTTTAACCCCAATGTTAAAATTTGTGGTCCCACTTTATATTAAGTGGTCTTAACTACGTACTTAGATTTAAATGAATCATTTGGTAGAATGCACTTATTGTGTACATACTGTACCTGTAATTTGTACTTCAATTTTATAAATAATATTATAATTATATTCGTAGTATAATTAATTTCTGTAACAACATTTATAATTACACTGTTGACCCATACCTTCACATTAACCCACCCTTAAACCTATCCATATCACCAGACCTGTTCCTAACTTTTCCAGCATCCTACTTCAATATGTGTTCTACAATAAAATATGAACACAGTAAGTAAATTGTACTTTATGTTTGTGTACCTTAACTATGACCGTTTAATATAAAGTAAAACTAAATGTGTAATAAATTTATTTAGAATTATTTAGGCAATTTTTTCATATAATATTAAAGGTGTTTAAGCTGAAATGGTGGTTCTTTCATAATATAAGTCAACAAGTCAACACTTCAAGATCTATAACACATATATAGACTAGCAGTACGTGATATGGCTGTATATCGGCACTGTTGGGAGGTATACAACTCAAGAGTATTTAGTGACGATATACAGCCATATTGCACTGCTACGAGTGTGATATTGTTTTTATACAACAGTTTGATGGCCTAGTCATGTAAAGAAAAAAGAAAATCAAACTCACACAGTCTAAAAATGCTTTTTGTACGAGGAAGTACTTTCTTCTACCATTCCTTCACATCTGCAGCTGACCTCAGAACAGCAGAAGCCTTTACTAATTCACCAATGTCAGTTTAGAGCTATTATTTAAATGATTCTCTAGCGTAATGTCTAAAGTGATGACAAAACAGGTAATTTTGCTCACATTTTATTATT